GAGGTCTCGCTGCCCAGGCGGGTCTCGAACCCGCGGGCTCAGGCAATCCACTCACCTCAGCCTCCCAAAGGCGCGGGATTACAGGCTGAGCCACCGAGCCCGGCTTGTCGATGGACATTTAAGTTGATTCCACAACTTGTCTGTTGTGAATAGTGCTGTGATGAACACAGGGATGCAGACATCTCTTCAAAAAACTGATTTCAAATCTTTGAGTAAATATCCAGAAGCGGGTTTGCTGAATCATACGGCAATTCTATTTTTAGTTTTTTGAGGAATGTCCATAATGTTTTACATAATGGTTATACTTATTTACATCACCACTCAGTGTGCAGTAGTTCCCTTTTCTCCACATCCTTGTCCATACTTGTACTTTTGTCTTTTTGATAAAAACTATTCTGACAGGTGTCAGATAGTATCTTACTGTGGTTTTAATGTGCATTTCCCTAATAATTAGCAATGCTGAGCATTTTTTCATGTCTGTTAACCATTCATAGGTCTTCTTCTGAGAGATGCCTATTCAGGTGCCTTGCCCATTTTTTCACTGGGTTCTTTGTTTCCTTGTTGAGCTGTTTGAGCTCCTTATATATTTTGGAGATTAACCCCCTATAGAATGTATGGTTTGTAAATATTTTCTCCCAATCTGTACGTTGTCTCTTCAAACAACATTTTAACAATATTAACTCAATATGAACATTTTAACAATATTAACTCCAGCAGTCCATGAACACGAGATAGCTTTCCATTTACTTGTGTCTTCAATTTCTTTTATTTCCTTTGCTGTGCAGAAGCTTTTTAGTTTGATGTAATCCCATTTTTTTATTTTTGCTTTTGTCATCTGTGTTTTTGGGTTCAAATCCAAAAAAATCAATGTCAACTATATACTAATGTAGTTTTCCCCCTATGTTTTCTTTTAGAAGTTTCAGAGTTTCTAATCTTACATTTGTTTAAGTCTTTATCCATGCTGAGTTGATTTTTGTATATGGTGTGAGGTAAGGGTCTAATTTCATTCTTCTGCATAAGGAAATCCAGTTTTCCCAACACCACTATTGTGTCCTTTTCCATTTGTGTATTTTTGGTGCCTCTGTCAAAAATAAGTTGACCACATATGCATGGGTTCATTTCTGGGCTGTCTATTCTGTTTCATTAGTCGATGTGTCTTTTTTGTTGTTGTTGTTTTTGCCAATTCTATGCTGTTTAACTACTACAGCTTTGTAGTATATTTGAAATAAGGTAGTGTGATCTCTCCAGCTTTGTTCATTTTGCTCATGATCGCCTTGGCTATTTTTTTTTTGGTAGTGCCATATGAATTTTAGGATTTTTTTTTTCTATTTCCATTAAAAATGACATTGGGTTTTTTCACAGAGTGCATTGAATCTGTAGATTGCTTTGAGTAGTATGAACATTTTAACAATATTAACTCTAGCAATCCATGAACACAAGATAGCTTTCCATTTACTTGTGTCTTCAATTTCTTTTATCAGTGTTTCACAGTTTTCAGTATACATGTCTTTTACCGCCTTGGTTAAACTTATTCCTAAGTATTTTATTTTTTTGTCTGTAGCTATTGTAAATGAGATTGTTCTCTTGATTTCTTTTTCAAATAGTTCATTATTAGTGTATAAAAATAATACTGATTTTTGTGTGTTAATTTTATATGCAACTTTACTGTATTTGTTTATTAGTTCTAACAGTTTTTTGGTGGAGCTTGTAGGGTTTTCTATATATAAGATCATGTTATCAGCAATTGTACTTTTTCCTTTCCCAAAAAGAATACATAAAACATGTGGCATTACCAAAAAGGAAAGTTACTTGAAACTTTAAACACAATCCTTTTTTTGGAGCATCTGCTATTATAAAGTAAAAGAAAACTTCTTTCTCTGTACATTACTTATTAAATTGTTTTTTACTGACTAAGAAAATTAGGAAATTAAGAGGAAAGGAAGCAATAATTGGATAATATGTTAAAGTTAAAGAAGGTGGTTAATGTTACATTTTGAAGCATAATAGAGGACGATGGAAAGTTTTAAAGACTATAAAGATGATTAACATGCTGAATTCTATTTTTTTTTTTTTAAGTGAGAAAGCAGGATTTATTCAGAGGACAGAAAAGCTTCCACAGTGGGAGAGGACCCAAGGGGGTTGACCACTGAATTCTATTTTTAAAAGGGATACCTGCAATTAGGTGATGTTTCTGTGAGAGGCTTCACCATAAAACAACTCTAAATTATTAAAAATTTAACAAAGAACACAAAATGAATTTTATCAAACTAGTACACTGTTTTGTTATAAATTAACCAAATAACTTTATAAACAATACTGCTAATTTTCCTTTTGTTTAAAGTTATAGCTTTATACCATATAAGTAAATTTCAAGTATGCACAGTACATATGCAAAATCAATACTTTTCTGTTAAGTCCAAAATGCCTTGTGATAAAATTGTATTTTTTACAAAAGAATAAAACTCTCATTGTCCCCTATTCCAAGAGTCCGACCTATTAGAATATTGCTCAGTAAGTTTCAGAGATGCATGTCTGGAAGCAACATGCAACTGAAAATAAACTACTAGTGTTTCTATCATTTTATATTTTTATTGTCACTAGTATTTTCTCTTTACCCAATAGAAGTTTACATCCTCTATAACAGCACTATCTAACAGAAACTTCTGTGATATTAGAAATGTTCTATATATGCCCTGTTCAATATGGTAGCTACTAGCCACATGTAGCTAATGAGTGCTTAAAATGTGGCTAATGTGACTGAGAAACAATGTTTTAAAATTTTCCTTGAATTCATTTAAACAGCGTGTGTGGCTAATGGTTACCCTACTGAATAGCACAGCTCTTTGATGCTGCCCTTTGAATCAGCTATTCTGTACAGCCATCACCTGTATATTTCCAAATTCCTTTTAATATGTTCTCTTCAAATCCTTGTTGTAAAACTAAAAGTGTAATGGTGGCATCATCTTATTAATTTTGTAGATGGCTTCATATTCCTGAAGTTGATGGACAAATCTAACATTAAGACTAATACATGATCTTTCTTCATGTACTACTCGGGGATCCCAACATTTCCATTGAAAATAACTTTTCCTCCAGTTTATAAGTTCCCATCAAAAAATGTAGACCCAAGGTAAAAAAAAAGAATTACATCTGTACTAACTGTGATATTCAAAATCAAGTATCTAAATAATTTTTTGAAAGTATGATAATAAAGTTTGATCTAACATTTTGTCTTACTGGTATTATATGAGCTGTTCTATAGTACACTGGCTTGCTTTTCATACCAGAAGAACATAAAACTAAAAACAAACGAGGCAAAACTTCTTGCATTTCCTGTTTCATAGAATAGATTCAATTCTCAGCATCTTCTTTGCACTATAGGGGGAAGCAGAACTACAGCTTTATGTTGTCCACTGATCCAGCCTGTGGCCTGGAGGGTTGGTTGCAAGGGTAAAATTACCTAGCTGATCCAAGTTCTCAGGCTGGCAGTGAAGGTGAAAGGGAGGGTGGCCTGGGTAGTCCAAAGGGCTGATGAGTGAATGGCAAATTTACAAGAAACACAGATTAAAGGATTCTTGTGATCCTAGCAACAGCCACATAGGGCAGGGGAGGGTTAGGAGTCCTGTAAATGGTTGTAAGACTGCTGCTGTATCCTCCCCAACAAAGTCTCTGTACTCTTAAGATGTCTAGACTCCATCATAATCACAAGTCTTACGACTCCAGTAACTAAAGAAAAATTATTTATGCATATAACTAATATATGCATGAAATAAAATTCAATAGTATAAAAGGCATAATGAAAAATAAATCTTTCTTTCATCACTGTTGTCCAGTTCTTATCACCAAAGGCAAATGTTGCCAGTTTCTTTGCCTATCCTTTGCCCTGCTAAATGACTTACGAATTCTACCACCCTTTTCCTTGAATGTTTTAGATTCAATACAAACTTAAAAGCAAAAATACGCAGCATTCTTACTAACCATATCACAAATAATCAAGTTTTCCCACCTAAGAGATCTCCGATTACCAAATTATCTAATTATTTAGCATGTAATCCTGTATTCTTGACTCCATGCTAAGCAAGCTCCATTGGGCAGGAACCACACCGCTGTGTTGTAACAGAAAGCATACCAGATCAGACTTCCTCCGAAGATATGGGTTCCAGGCCTGTCATTTACTAGTTGTGTGACCTATGATCCTTAATTTCCAAATATGTAAAATATTAATATCATCTCATCTCTACCTATTTCACTGGGCTAAAAAGATTAAATACAGTATTACATGTGGAAAGGACACTGGAAATTCTAATGAAATGTAAATATAAGGCCATTATTATTCATTTGTATCTCCACAGCCGCCAGTCTCAAGCTGATTAGATGCATAATAAGTACGTAATTTAACAGATACAAGCTCATTTCCTAGCATGCAAATTATACACTATGTTATAGTCACAGAATTGACTTTCTCCTTTAGGTTTCCTGAATAAATATAACAACCCAAGTGTCAACAGAAAATCTTTCTTTTTGGGAAAAATCTATGACCTCAAGATCTTACTTACAATGAAAGAGTGTAAACTGATTTCTTGATTTTTCTCTTATAGTGAGAAAAAATTGTTCCTAGTGAGATGGGCAGGTATTTTATCAAATCAAATTTTATCAAAACAAACACCTTTTAGCAAGGCTAGCAGTTTTTCCACAGGAAACAAGAGTTTAAGAAGGGTCTAAAAAAGAGAGAAAAGAGTTAGTTTGATGTATGAGAAGCCATTTGGGCAATACCAGATTAAGTTAGCCATCCAACAAGAATAGAAGGTAGTAGGAAAAATAATGAAGTCATACTAAAACATCTCTTTAATCCCTTTAGAATAAAGAGTAATTCAGAAAGAAAAAGCACAAGAAAAGATTAAACAGAATGGTTAATAAACATCTAAATCAGAGGAAGCAAAATAACTCAATCTAGAGAAAGATCCTAACTTTTAGTAGCTTTTGTTGCAGGTTTTCCTTACCTCTTCTGCTGTACTAACATGTCGCCTCTGAATTTTCTTGGGGCTCAAAAGGCTTCGACGACATGAACCACTCCAAGATGGACTTGGAACAGGCTTAATAGGAAAAGATTTTTCATATGCAGATACATGGCAGTGATGGTTTGACTTTCCCGTAAAAGTGTTTAATAATCCACTAAAAAAAAAGAGTTTATAAGAAAGATGAGAACAATGAAGTAAAATGAACCTAATCTAGTGACTATTTTCATTTTCAAGAAATAACAAAAGCCAGAAAAAATTAACAGGTAGAAAGAAAGGTGTACCATTTTAGGGAAATATAGGAAATGATATATGAAGTTGTTTCATTAGGTTCTTCCACTTAAAAGATACTATATTGTCAAACTACATAATTATCAAACACTAAAACAGTATTTCTTGAATCTATCATCTAAAATTTCCTTTGGTTAGGAACCATTTATCTTATGGTATGACAAAGCACATGAGACTAGACTTCTTCAGAAAACCTGGGTTCCAGGTATGCTAACAAACATATATATTTTCTATTTCTCCCTGTAGTCTTTACCCCAAGCCCTTACTTTAAGATTAAATATGTAAAGATGGATAAAAGCATAACTAAGTTTTTAAAATGAATTTTTACATTTCTTTTAAGACCAACAGAGGGCTCCCATCCTTCATTAAAAACAGCCAAAGGCTTTCTTTTAGGCTGTATCACTCAGAATTCTCTTCTGGCCTTACTGTTTACTTCGTCTGAAGAAATTTTGCTTCTTTATACTATTTGTGCCCTATCTAATGGGGAAAAATGGCATTAAGAATACTGTGAACTCATAACCCAGTCTTACCTCTCAGGCTTAATAATTTTAAGTTTTTTCTATGTGCTCATTCTCACCTATCATTACCCAACAAGTTTGAGGTACTTATCTTAGCAAAATAATTTTTCCTTTTTTTTTTTGCTGTGGACTTAGAATCAAGATACACAGCTCACTAAACTGAATTCAATAAAATCAACTGATTAAATCATTACATGTGGTCTGCATCCAAATAAAATCAGACTAAATAAAAAAGTACACATTCTCTTTAATCCTTTAAATTCTAATGGTTTCTATGTGTGTTAGAATGGGGAAAGTAAAAGGACTCAGAATTTCAGGAACACGTTTATTTTTTTAGGATGAGTGGATGCAGCTAGGAAAAAATGGCAAGGGGAGTATAATTGTTTGGTAAAGATATAATGGATCCTCCACAATGTCTTTTGTACTTGTGCTTCCCAGAGTGTGCATGTGCAAGTGTGTGTTTTTTAACAAAAAAAATTCTTCTTCTGCAGAAAACAGTACAAGGGCATCTTGCAACGCCAGAAAGCAAAGGTGTTACCAAAAATTAATGAGGTTGAAAAAAAATTAATAAGGTTGGTCGAACAGACACAGAAGCAAAATTGAAAAGGCTCCCACTGGCCAAAGTTGTGAGAATGTAAGCATTAAAAGAATAATATTCACGGTGGATTAAGGCATACTGAATCGATAACGACACTCAAAAAAGAAGATAAAAAATTCATTTGAGCCATATGAAGTTGCTTTAAAAAAAAAAACAAAATCTTAATTTGAAAACTGGTAATGACAAAGAAACATCTAATCATTCATCCCGCCTTTCGCAAAGAAATATATTTTACAGTAACCAAAGAGCCCTAGGTAATTAAAAATGAAATAAGTACAGAAGACTGAGCCCAGGGGTTTGAGACCAGCCTGGGCAACTTGGTGAGACCTTGTCTACAGTGAATCAAAAAATTAACTGGGTGTGGTAGTGGTCATCTGTAGCTCCAGCTACTTGGAAGGCTGAGGCAGAAGGATCACCTGAGCCTAGCAGGTCGAGGCTGTGGTGGCCATAAGCATGAAACTGCACTCCAACCTGGGCAACAGAGTGAGACCCCAACTCAAAATAAATAAATAAATAAATAAAGTGCAGAAGATGTGATAAGATTAGAAAAATATTATTTCATTAACTTTAACAAAATTATTGTTAGTTAAGTATTACCAATTGATATTAATAATTATTAGGTGAATGGCTGACATGAACTTGATTATTAATCATTCAGATTACATTCTAGTCATAGAATTTAAATTGAACTGTACAATTAATGATTAGATTGTCATTTTCTCAATCCAGAGATCAATCTAGTATCACCAATAATAGGAGAACCAGAACAAGATACTGTTTGTTCTTCTAATGTGATATCATACAGTAACATCTTATTCAAGTAAAAAACCTGTTTTACAAAAAATATAGGCTATTTTTGACAAAATAATGATACCATGTGGACATAAACCATCACACCCAAAAGGTAAACATTATGTAGAAGAAAAGTCATGCCATTAAAAAGAAACAGGCTGTTCTATGTTGTAAAAGACTTAAAGATGAAAACCTCCAGATGCAATTCTAAGATTGGATACGGGTTTGAACAAACTAGCTGTAAAAGATACTTTGGGGTCAACTGAGAACATTTAAATACAATTTAGTGTATAAAATAAAATGTACTAAATTGCAAAGGAGTAAGTGACTGACTAAAAAAGCAGATTACGAAAGAGTATTTACAGTATGAACTCATTTTGGAAAAAAATATGTATCTAAAGGCAGAGAAAAATAGCTGGAAAGATACATACTAAGATATTATGGAACGGATCTCAGGTTGGTGGGAACATGATTTTTTTTTTTCTTTTTGCTTATCTGTATTTTCTAAGTTTTTACAAAGCATATGTATTAAGAAATAGCTGGAAAGATATATACTAAGATATCACAGAATTGATCTAAGACTGGTGGGGATGTGATGGTTTTCTTTTTTCTTTTTGCTTATCGGTGCTTTCTAAGTTTTTACAAAACACATGTACTGTTTCTACAGTAATGCTATTTTAAAAAATAACAGTATGGCATTACTGAGTAAAAAAAGCAACTTGCTAAATGAGGCTATAAAAAATCTTTATAGAAGACAAAATAACATCATACATTTCATAGTATACATAGCACATATATCATGTTATATATGAGTAAGGAAGAAGAGAGAAACAAGCATAAGAAAAAATTTGGAAGGAATTCCCACACCAAGGGAAAAGATTGAAACTATGGGTAAGTGGTCAAGGGATCTTTAGCTTTACTGATAATATTTCGATTTCTACAATGTAGGTATATAAATGGATCCTTGTATAAATTTTTTAAAAGTTAAGAAGTCAGCCAGGCATGGTGACTCACACCTGCAATCCCAGCACTTTGGGAGACTGAGGTGGGAGGATGACTTGAGCCCAGGAGTTTGAGACCAGCCTGGGCACTATAGTGAGCCCTCATCTCTACAAAAACTAAAAAAAATGAGCCAAGCATGGTGACACATGCCTGTAGTCCTTGCTACGTGGGAGGAAGAGGTGGAAGGATCGGCTGAGCCCAGTAGGTCGAGTTTGCATAAACTACAATTGTGCCACTGCACTCAAGCCTGAGTGACAGAGTAAGTCCCATTCAAAAAAATAAAAATAAATAAAAGTATTATTTTACTAATATCATAAAGTACCTGAGGAAAGAGTCTCTAAGCCAAACTTCATTTGTCTTTAATAACCAGTATGTTTGGTGAGGGACTTGGTAGGGCTTATGAAGCTTGGATAAAGTTCTCTGTGACTCTATTTTCCAAAAGACAGAAGTAAGCCAGGCTCGGTGGCTCAGCCTGTAATCCCGCACCAGGGAGGCTGAGGTGAGTGAACTGCCTGAGCCCACGGGTTCGAGACCCGCCTGGGCAGGCGAGACCTCATCTCTACAATAAATCAAAAAATCAGCCAGGCGTGGTAGCGCATGCCTATAATTCTGGCTACTTGGAAGGCTGAGGCGGAAGGATCGCTGGAGCCCAGCAGGTCGAGGCTGCAGTGGCCGGGAGCGGCCACTGCACTCCAGTCTGGGCGACAGAGTGAGACTCCAACTCGAGGAAAAAAAAAAAAAAAAAAGACAGAAGTAGCTTAGGTCTAGTTGACTATTGCCATGAGACACAGAAGTGCTTTAGTTTAAGTCAGGTTTCTGCTCATGTGACAGCCTGAGCTCTCACCAGTAAAAAAAAAAAAAAAAAAAAAAAAAAAGAGTAAGATGTGCTGGTTTCTTTCCTACTCAAATTGCAGTGATTGAATGATTTTCACTTTAATAGACATAATAGCCATATTGATCCTGAAGGGTCCCAATATTCTCATACCCACCAAGATTTCCCTCAAAACTCTCTCTTCTAATTACCAAAATTCAGCACTAAGTAAATTAACAGCTGAAAACTTAAAATGGATTTCTCCATATCGCTATGGTTTAAAGTCCAAAAATGGTGTTACTCTTCTAAAATGCCAAGTGACAACTCTCGTATAGCCACTTCCTCTTATATCTGAGGAAGAGTTTGAGAGCTAAGCAGGCAAAATACCAACCTTGAGGACTTTCGTGTTTCGAGGTAAAGACTTCGGCTGTTTCTTGATTTTTGTAAAGTTGAGCTTGATGTTGGAGTGGAATTTCTCCACTGACCATTTACACTCTGGCCAAAGGTTCTTAAGTCGCCTGAGCCAAGAAAACTGTCTGGGGAAGAGTTGTCTACAAAAATAAAAGTTTGAGTAAATTAAACAAACACTACAGCTGGTTCTCTTTTAATACTGCAACCATGACCAACATTGTATTCCAAAGTAATGTGGCATATCACCATGTCTTTCATGGAAGAAAGATCCCAGTCTCAACTGCCAGTAAAGTCTGCAGTAAGGGAACTTCTACACACTATAAGTGATTCAGCCATACTAACCTGAAAATTGATGAAGGAGCTGAATCCTGCCACAGCCATGTGCCTTATCTGCATCAATGTGACTCCGTGGTGTCCACCAAAAGTCAACATTTTACCCCAACTATATCTTGCAAGCACTCCCAGGCCTGGGCCTGAAAGAAGGTAGGCCAGACCAGTAAGAAAGCAGGTGGAGGGCCAATGAGAATTGTAATTCAAATGAACAACAGTTATTGCTTAATAAGCAGCTGGTGTCACTCTCCTGTCTTTAGTTACCATGCTTAAGACCCAGGGGCTCTCTCAAAGAGCAGAGATAACCTAATTGCTGCTTATTCTGGTGGGTTTATGGCAGAAATGACCCATCATATACATATGGCTCTGGTATAATAATGTTCAGTTACTTAATGCCATAATCACAAGACATATTAATACTCCAATGCTTGCTACTGCAATCAGATTGATAATTATTAATTATTTAAATTTCCTAACTTGTGGATTATAAACTGAGTTGACAGAAATGTCCTGAAGTTTCAGCTAGAAGTTACAAAATAATTTCTATGTCCTCTTCTCCTTATCAGCAGGATTGGACAATTTAAAGTAGCTCCTTCAAAATAAACTCAGACATTAGACTATGAAACTCTGATGAGCTCCAGTGGAAAAAAAAAAAACAAGAAAAATGATAATTCTCTATTTCCTGAAAATTTTATTAAGTTGATTTTTAAGATCCTCTTTCAAAGCATATTATCTTTTTCAAAGCACAGAACTTGTCACAATATTGTACATCTGTGCTATTATAAATACTTAATGTATCTTGTTATACTGAATTCAAAAAGTAAGGCAGCCTCCAAAAATATAATTTTGTGTTTAAAACCTTAAGGTAATCAGGATATTAGGATTTAGGATAAATAAAATAGGAAAAAAGCAGTCACAGATGGTGTTAGTACTGGTTAATTCACCGATGAGGTACTTTGGTATAATAATTAAAATAAGTTAAATTTACTTTAAGAATGAATTATAACTTTTTTCCTTTGTAATCAGTACCTACGTTTAGCATCCATCACTATTACTTTGAGGACAGAGACATACAGTTAATGAAATAAGTCTTAGTAAAGAACCAGAAAATTATTATGCTTCTTAAAAAAAATTAATCTATTTTTTTAAAAATAGAGATGTGGTCTTACTATGCTGTCCAGGTTAGTACTGAACTCCTGGGCTCAAGCAATCCTTCCACCTTGGCTTCCCAAAGTGTTGGAATTATAAGCATGAGCCACCATGCTTGACCTAAAATTATTACCCTTAAATGCAAAGTAGTAACAATAGAAATCTGTTTCTTACATTTTGGCTAAAATTAGATTAGGGAATGATCTAAACAGGATGTCTATTTGAGAAATAATTCTGTCAAAAATGCAAATTACCCTGACAGGGGTGAAATTTGTACCAGGAATAAGCCATAGTAGCTTCTCAATGGCATGTGACAAAGACTTCCACTTTAAAATGCAAGGGAAAGCACAGGATCAGGCAGTCTATCAAACCAAAAAAGGTGGTTCCATCCCCACTCAATGAAATTACCAAATAGTCTTTTATCACTGATGAAATCTAGCAAAGCTAGAGACAGACTAATGGGGGCTATGAGGGATTAACCTGATATTCCAGCATCATTAAGAAATCATGTAGTTCCAGCTACTTGGAAGGCTGAGGCGGAAGGATCGCCAGAGCCCAGCAGGTCGAGGCTGCAGTGGTCAGGAGTGGCCACTGCACTCCCAGTCTGGGCGACAGAGTGAGACTCCAACTCAAAAAAAAAAAAAAGAATGAGTTGCAAATGCCATAAATAAGATTACCTACGATGTGCATATACATACACACAAAACTAGAAGAAAATACACCAAAAATGTAATTGTGGTTATGTTCTAAAGAAAGAATAATGGGTATTCTTTTCTCTATAAATTTTCTGCAGGGACAGGTAATACTTTTATGGACGTAATAAACTTTACGGTAAAAGACTGCATCAGGTAAACACTTACTAGAAAGTAACTATTAGTTGTTCCTGTTAACCTTAGGATTTATTTAGTAACTATAAAAGCAGGATGGTTTAAATCATCTTATCTACTAAATGCCAATCTGGCAACCTAATTTACATGTTTTCCAAAGAGAAGACATTGATAATGATTCTAAGCATGAGCAACATCATTTTTCATCTTAATATGCTTTTCTTTGTTAGGGTTAAAAATGTTTTAATTTTATTTTCATTATGCTCTTGATGAATCTGAGAGGTCTTGAAGCCTGTCACTAAGTTGTTAAAGTAAAACAATGCTGTATTTTTTTTCTAAGTTTTTTTTTTTTGTTTTTAAATCAAGTTTTAGTAGTCTAACCTTGAGTAGGTTAAGAAGTAATCTTTAAAAAGCTTGGTCTAGAGAGATGAATACAGTGAAGCAATAAAGAAGAGGCTCCAGACCCTATATTCTAAAGTTTGGGCTTTCCTGTTCATTTTCATCCTGGTAGAGGAAAGGTCAACAGGGTGAGAGAGAAGACAAATACCAACACAGTCAAGATTAGAAGACTGAGACAGGTGAACTAGGGATCCATGCCTAGCCCAATCAGGAGGCAAGACTCAAGGTGACTGACCACAGAAATCAATGTGGGGATTATTAGAAAAGAATATATCCAAAAAAAGATGCAAAGACAAAACTCTGCAGCATTTGCAATGAACTGGAATGGATGTGGCAAAAGAAAGAAGTTTTAAAACATCAACAGAAAAAAGTAGCTTTTAACTGAAGACTTGGTGGTGGCTCATGCCTGCAATCCCAGCACTTGGAAGGCTGAGACAGGAAGATTATTTGAGGCCAGTAGTTTGAGATCAGCCTAAGTAATGTGATGAGACCCTACAAAATATGAAAAAAATTAGCTGGGCATGGTGGCATGCACCTGTGGTCCCAGCTACTCAAGAGTCTGGGGTCAGAGGATTGCTTGAGCCTAGGAGATCAAGGCTACTGTGAGCTATGATCATGTCATAATATTCCAGCCCAGGCAACAGAGTGAGATCTTGTCTAAAAAACTAATAATAAAATTTAAATACTCTATTATAAGAAAAAAGCATATAGACGCTTAGTATTCAGATTTAAAATTCTGATTTTTAGAAAGCAACTGTGGAGGTCTGTGACATGTCATAAGCTTGTCTGATCAAGAACTAGATGGATTTGATAGAGGCACAAAAGTAGAATCCTTTACTTCATGTTGTAGGTAATTTAGAGAAGGAGTCTAATAGACAGCCCAGAATCCTGATTTCAACAGACTTTATTATTCACTGTTGTTATTCTCTATTCATCATCATGTATACAGAGAAACTGTTATATTTTTTTCTTTTCCTAAGAAATTGTATTCAAATGAGAGATAAAACTTTAGTGTGAGATTTCTGATAGGGAAATCAATTTGTGGTATGAGGATAAACACAGGACAAACGTAACTCTAAATAATTACATAACTGAGTAGAAAGTCAGGAATCTGGCAAAATATTTCATGAGGATTTAAGATAATCTTAGATATATCCTTTATTAATATAAAGTGTCTACTGAAACCTAAAAGAAAAAAAACTATATATGAGGTCTGACAATTACATTCACGAACTTGCCACTGTGTGCTTACGTTGGCAGTACTGTACAAACAACTCGATAAGGTTTCATAAACTTGGTATGTCAGTGTCTCACAGTTATGTTTGGGTCAACATGTGGCGATGACTTGCTGAGTGGTGTTCATTATTGTTGTTGTATATTTTTGTGTGCCATCACAAGAATGTCGGAGCTTGAATTAGAACAACGAACAAACATTACATTTCTTGTTAAATTTGGCAAGAGTGGAAGTGAAATCAGGAACATGTTAGTCCAAGTTTATGGGGATAATGCCATGAAGAAAACAGCAGTGTACAAATGGATTAAACATTTTCCTGAGGGGAGAAAAAGTGTCACTGATGAAGAGTAATCAGGAAGGCCAGTAATGAGGAGAACTGACCTGAAAACATTGCAAAAACTCATTGAACTGTGCATCAAAATCATTGGCTGTGAGAAGCATAGCAGACCAAATAAACATTGATAGAGAAAATCTTAAGTGGAAATTTTGGTATGAGAAAGATGTGTGCAAAAAAGGTCCTGTAGGAGCTCTTATATCATGACAATGTACCAGCTCACAAAGCACTGTCTATGAGGGAATTTTTAGCCAGTAAACAAATGTGTATTAGAACACCCTCCCTACTCACACCCACCTGATCTGGCCTCCAATGACTTTTCTCTTTGCCCAAAGATAAAAGGAAATATTGAAAGGAATATATTTTGATGACATTGAGGATATCAAGGGCAATACGATGACAGCTCTGATGGCCATTCCAGAAAAAGAGTTCCAAAATTGCTTTGGTGGGTGGACTAGGCACTGGTATTGATGCATAGCTTCCCAAGAGGAGTTTTTTTCTTCAAAAGTGACTGTAGTGATATTCAGCAATGAGGTATGTAGAGTTTTTCTAGAATGAGTTTGTGAACTTAATTGTCACACCTCATACAGAAATGCTTTTAAGTCATGTCAGTAATAGTTGAAAACGGTGAGGATGAATGTGCGCTACAGGGGAAATAATAAAGCAAACGAAGGTACAGGTCCGTTATCCAAAATAATACATCCTTGGGTCCATTTGTACTTTTGAATTAAAATTTTTTGGAATTTTAGAAAGATACCCTAGTATACTTTCAAGTATAATCTGGAGTAGCACCCTGTAATCAAGCATATGGATAATCTGTAGCAAAATGTGTACTCTTATTTACAGAAATAAAGAAATAATATAATAATAATATAAACAGTTTCACATCAACTCATGTAGGTTTAATCAAGGAATTAACTTATGTCAGATCAGATTTTGATGCCAAATGAGTTATGAGAAAACTTTTTGATTTTCAGAGTATTTTGGATTTTGGAATCGCACAATTATAGATGTACTTATCAATTCCGTGGATTAGAAATTAACAGAAAGTGATAAATTAGAATAAGAACATGTAAATAGATGAAGAAGAAATAAAATGTTGAGTTAAAAAAATATGTGTGTCAAGCCATATAATATACCATGTATGTATGCACAGATAATCAGAAGAGGCCATAGAAATTTGAATTAAATGAGCTGAGTTACAATCAGGGGACTTTGAATATAATTTTCTACATAATTATTTATTATTAAGTAATTATTTTACTGAATAGCAAAGATTCTACCCAATAGTAAATTGGCATATGAAATTAGAGGCAAACACAGCCTGAATTCAAGTGGAAATATTGATGATCTAATTTAATTAACCAATCAATTGTTGTTCCTCAAGAATTGATAATGAGCTATCAAACCAGATTTCAGGCTCTCCGTTAATCAAAAAGGCTATTTTAATAATAATGGTAGTAGAGTTCCTTTCTAAGAAAATTGATTGATTTTTCTATACAAATTATGTACATAGTATCTGGAGACTACCACCCCTTCCAGGAGAGGAAATCCAGTGCCCAGGGAAGGTAAAGTACCACCCATGTAAATCTCATTTAAACATAAATCTAAACGATCATCATACTAACAGCTTTTTAGGGGAGGAAAAATCACGTTGCTGACAAAAAATCCTGAGGAAGCCAAATAAAAAGAATAATTATTATTTGCATTTGATATTTATCATCCCAATTTACTCTTACAAAAATCCCACTTGAGGCAGTTTCAATGGTATTACTAGTATTCCCATATTTGTGTTGAGGTTAGGAGATTGAAACATGAAGAGTGAAAAGACATGGAAGACCCTCTGTAATCTTCCTCAGTTCTACTGCCAAGAGGTAAACCAACAAAATAGTTTCTCAAGGAGAGGAAGAACAGTGTTAGAAGTCCAAGCTTCAGGAATAGTACAGATGATAAGTCAGGGAGGCCATGGGATAGGAATAGCCTAGAGAATGCTGACTTCTGTCATGGATCACAAGTAGAATAGGCAAGCCCTTGAATATGCAAGCATATGGCTGTGGCAGGTGCTAGATAGAAACATGTAGTTAACATTTCCTGCCCTGAGAGAGGTACAAGCTTGGTAGAAATAAATATTCACGGTTTCAAGCAGAACAGAAATAAACTAGCTCTCTGGTTTAGATTAATGCAAAATAAGTACACTTTACACACATATACACATCACATACAAATATTCTAAGAGTCAAAAACAAAAACAAAGCTATAATGTTTTTTACAATGGCATAGTGAACAAGTAGAATATATTCCCAAAAAATGCTTTTACAATGGCATAATGAACAAGTAGAATAGATTCCAAAAAAACTTTCATGAAAAAAATAGTATTTGGTTGAGACTAGATCAGTCAAGTATTACAGCAACAACATACATATACACAAAAAGCTATTAAAATGATGTTTTAGTGGAGAAAGTACCATTTTACTTTTGACAGTGTTTTTACTTTTAGAGATGATAAATACAAATGATTTGCTAAGAAGAAATCTGAAAGGTGTAAGTGCCTGACTCCAAGTAATGTGTCATACCTGAGTAGTAATTTGGATTACAAGCTGCACTTCTTGTGGAACATGTAAAAGATCGGTCCAAATTTCCTTGCCTGGAAGGTAAAATCTAAATAAAGCAGAAGATTTTTCTTAAATCTCATTTTTGACAATAAAATGGAATAAAAACTTGTACTAGGAAAAATGTATCATTAAACAAGACTATAGCGTATTTCAGTACACAACATAATAAATTATATTTATATTTTATAAATATTGGTACTACATACAAGTAAGAAAGGAAAACATGGACAATCTGATTAAATGACTCAGGCTTCAAGAGGAAAAATGGGCAAAATATCAGTTAATTCAAAGAATGCTCATTAAAAGGTAAATATGTTTTCGGTATACCCTGTCTGAAAGCCAGTTGCAATATATATTAAAAAGGCTGAGAAAAATCAACTTGGTTTTGACTCTTTTTATAATGTTACAGTAATAGTTCTTAATCAGGGGTGATGCTGTACCCCAAGTACAAATCTGGAAAAGTGTGGACGTGTATTCATTATCAAAATGATTATGAGGGGTGAAAATGATAGATGCTACAGGTAGTTAGTGGCTAGGGGCCAAGAATGCTAAACATCTTATTATACTTAAGATAGAATCACACAGTAAAAAAATGATTTCAGCTGGGCTTGGTGGCTCAGCCTGTAATCCCGTGCTTTGGGAGGCTGAGGTGAGTGGACTGCCTGAGCCCACAGGTTCGAGACCCACCTGGGTAACTTGGCAAGATCTCACCTCTACAATAAATCAAAAAATTAGCGGGGCATGGTAGCGCTCGCCTGTCGTTCCAGCAACTTGGAAGTCTGAGGTGGAAGGATCGCCAAAGCCCAGCAGGACGAGGCTGCGGGGGCCAGGAGTGTGCCACTGTACTCCAGGCTGAGTGACAGAGTGAGACTCCAACTCAAAAAAAAAAAAAAAAATTTCATCCAAATTACTGATGGCTTTTCTACTAAGAAAGCTGCTTTATTCATTTTTTATTTTTTGAGTTGGAGTCTCACTCTTTCGCCCAGGTTGGAGTGCAGTGGCACACAAACTCACAGCCACCCTAGCGTCGACCTTCTGGGCTCCAGCGATCCTTCCACCTCAGCATTCGGAGTAGCCAGAACTACAGATGCGTGCAACCATGCCTGGCTATTTTTTCACTTTATTGTAGAGACAAGGTCTCAAACTTGCAGGCTCAGGCAATTCACTCGCCTTGGTCTCCCAAAGTGTTGGGATTACAGGCTGAGCCACTGAGCCTGGCCGAGACTGCTTTATTAATAGTGTTCCCAATACTTTAATTTGCCCATAAATCAACTGGGGGTGTTTTAAAATGATAGATTCTGTTTCAATGGTATGGGATTCTGAGACTCCATTTCTACCAAGTTCCTAAGTGAATCTGATGCTTCTGGTCCTGGACCAAACCTTGGGAAACTAAGCTTTACAGCAGAGACAAGTCTCAGAGCTCTGTATATGTTCACATTTCCCCCTATTTAATGCTCAGCAATTTTAAGATACTAGTTTAAAAGACCACTTATCTGTGTATTTGGTAATTGTAATACTCAGAGGAACAATGAAGACTTTTCTAAAAGGTACTTTTCTTAAAGAACTCATACATAGCCTGTTCTTTCTTAACTTTCCTGTCTTAAATTTAATATAACAAGCAAAATTTCAAACACTAAAATTGTTGATTTTTAACAAGTTCATATATATGCTTGCATTTTTGCATAATTACACTAAAATGAAAACATATAAAGAGCCAAAATAATTAATTTATTAAGAGAAGAAAATGATTCCTAACCTGCTGGTCAGAAAGCGAAAGCTGGTCCTCTGGAAAACCTGTTTGTGGCAGGAGGTGAGTTTTGAATATGGTGCTGTGGTTCACTAAAGTTACTTCTCCAGCATCCATCCTTACCCTGGCAGCAATATCATCTGGGGAAAGAGACTGGATTAGTTCAAGTCATATAATTCTTCAATAATTTTTCCTATGAACCAATCTTTCACCTGATAAAAATGATTCCCAAAGAACAACTCTACAGTAAAATAAAACTCCTCCTTCACAGCTAACCATTAGCAAGAAATCTTAGAATGTCATTATCCAAGCGAGAAATTGGATTGTTTGGAATTGACTAAGATCATCTACCAAATAGTTCAAAACTTGTACATGTATAAAAATAGCTTAAGGTTTTAAAAATAATAAAAATTGTCCAAAAGCAATTTTTAATGTTTCAACTGCAGAAAAAATTGTAAATATAAGAAAACTAGGGGAAAAATTTCACCATTCAGAAACAAACACTGTTTACATTGGTTTATTTCCTGTTTTAACTTGTGTTTTTTAAAAATAATCCACCTGAAACATTTTTTTCTGTAAAAAGCATAATTTACAAGTATCAGCTCAATTACTGTACTTTTAAGACCTTTGCTACTATAAGAGAGCTAGAAGAGGAACAAATGAGAGTAAAGGAACTTAATGACTCAAGCTGATATCAGCAATGAAAAAAAAATGGAAACAAATGAGCAGGGGGGAAAGGTAGACTAAGCAAAAGGAAAATACAGAAAGTAGAGAAAAGGCTAAAATAAATTTAAAAGGAGCATATGGGATGTTATAAGACCTAGCTGTATAGATTTTTCAAATTATTCCTAAATTGGCTATTAGTTCTGACCTTATATTGACCCCCTTTAGAGACATAAGCTATTATGAATGAAATAGTAAAAAAAAGTTCTAATCACAATTAATTCTCAATGACACTACCAAGATATTTACCTTCATCAAATTACTTATCATATAGAAGGCAGTATAACATAGTACTAGAGAACAAGGACGCTAAAACCAGAGAGAATTTGGTTTAAATCCTAGCTCTGCCAGTTACAGCATGTGGCCCTAGGCAAGTTTCTTAACATCTGTATCTCAGTATCCTTCTTGATATAATAGTAATATATAATAATAGGAACCCTTGTAAAGTGGGTATACAGTTTAAATGAATTAATACCTTTTAAATCCTTAGAACAGGGTCTGGCACCCAGTAAATGTCTGCTGATTTATATTTGGCTTTTTCAATACAATGAATGAGAAAAATGCTCCTAAACAAGTCTGTAAATAAAATTCTAACCAAAATAAAATTACGTTTGGCATATAGTATTACATAATTAGGATTAAGATCTCTCTTAAAATAATATGAAAATCCGTTCTTTCACTCCAGCTTAACCAATAAAAGTAGCTAAAAGGGTTGAAAATAAGTCTTACCCATGTCAAGTCTTTTCACATCACTGACTTTAGCAAAGACACAAAGTCCTATTTTAAAAAAAGAGAAAAACAGAAACATTACACACACAAATATCTACTTCATATAACTACTAAACAGGCAGCCACTCAAAAGTGACATGTTTGTGTTCTTAGTGAAGAAAAAACCACGGTGGTAAGGAGTGAATTGGTGGGAAAAGAACAGAAATGAAAACTAGCCTGAGGTAATTGCTACATTAAACAGCAATTACAGACTATCCAAGGAATTACAGAATATTAAAACAAGAAGCAAGTTGGAGAGCCATCCCTTAGGAGACTGAGTGATTTGCCTAAGGGTCATAAAGTTAGTGACTGCACTGAAATTATAACCTAGAAATTCTTCCAAATCCACTGTTCTATTTCCTCAAGCTAAACCATTTTATAAACAAGTGACAGACTTTGCGATGGTCCTATGAAGGCTTCTCTTCCATATGTCTTACTGAGACATATAAAGCTACTGATTCTGAACACAATCAGGGACTGTTTCATAGTAGTACACAATACCTCCCCTCAACAGCATCAATCAAACTGCTACAAACCAAAGTCCCTTTGCCTATATAAAAATTACGTTCTCCTCTAATATACCCACTTTCCCTAGGGGAAAAAAAAATGAAGTTAAAAGCCTAACTGCTTGGAAATAGGCTAATAAACATACCCTGGCACACATGCTCTTGGCAGATTTCCAAGGAGGAGACTAGGGATGGTAATAATCACAGTTATATATTTATAATCTTATCATCATATTTTTGAAATATTGAGCACTTCATCAACTACATAGCAATATTAGGCCTTCAAAATATTCAGGAGGCTGGATGAAAACAGGCATTTTCCATGGTCACAATAGCAAGGTGCACAGAAAGGAAGGCTGCTTGAGTTTATCTTGGCATAGCTATAGACTAAGCAGAGTAATTATCTGATTACTTAGTCTTGCCAGGGAGGATTCCTAAAGAACTTAAGCCTTAGATTTAGGCTTCAAATATAATTCCAAATGTCCAACAAAAGGCTCCTACTGGAAATTCTCCAGGTTATTTTCCCCCCTTTTTTCATCTTTAATACAGAAGAATTCCCTAGGTTCCAGATTAACCTAGGGAAGAAGAAAAAGCATAACAACCAACATATTAGCAGTGCTTTTGACATTTCACTCTTTCAGGTTGGTTCATAGTTGTCATCACTAGCCTTTTTTTTTTTTTTTTGGTAGAAGAATGTCAATTTAAAAGCCTGGTGTTCAATAGAACAATCCCATGTTAATGTCCTTTGCATTTTGCTGAGATAGATGTGAAGAAGGAAGCAAGCTACAAATTCAAAGAATATTACAGATTATGTTCAGAGAGGTTAAGTGACTTGCCTGAAATCACACAGATGGGACAAAGGGAAGACAAGAATCCACGTATCCTGACTCCAGGGTAAATGCTCACTTCAAATATCATACAACTTCAAATCTTTGAACACAACTTCATTTAAATTTTCACGCACAGGCAACCCCCTGAGGTCCCCTCCCAATGTGGGTGCTTTTCTGTCCTCTCAATATAGCCTGCTTTCTCACACACACACACACACACACACACACACACACACACACACAAAGATTCACACACACTGGCAATTTAAAAATAATCTCTAGCTAACTCTGGGGAATGTATGCTGATTAATAATTTTAAATAAAGCAAATCGGTAATTATAAAAGACAATACTTAGGATTATGATGAAGTTACCAGAAAGCATATATCCAGGAGAGGCATTTTAGCTTTATCCAGAACCAAGACATAGTTAGAACAATTCATGATACGAGAATGATATGGAAGTAATCATGTGAATCACATTAGGGTACTCTGAGCTCTGGAAAACAATTACATATATGAAACAGTTTGGACTGTATTGTGTGTTTGGATTGTTTTTTCTTCTTCTACTTTTTTTTTTTTTTTTTGAGTTGAAGTCTCACTCTGTCACCCAGACTGGAGTGCAGTGGCACGCTCATGGCCACCCCAGCGTCCACCTGCTAGGCTCTGGAGATCCTTCTGCCTCAGCCTTCCAAGTAGCTGGAACTACAGGTGTGCGCTACCACGCCCGGCTAATTTTTTGATTTTATTGTAGAGATGAGGTCTCACCAAATTGCCCAGGCAGGTCTCGAACCTGTGGGCTCAGGCAATCCACTCACTTCGGCCTCCCAAAGTGCGGGATTACAGGCTGAGCCACCCAGCCCAGCCTCTTCTACTTTTACATGTAATCTCTCTCAACTAGTCTCTAACCCTTTAAATATTAAATATTCAACTTATTTCATACACAAACATTTACTGGGCACCAACTACGTTCAGGGTACTGGGGATACAAACATGGGTAAGAACAACTCCCTGCCCACTGAGAGGTTCACTGGCTAGTGGGGGGAGCCAGGTACATAAAAAGATACAGCAAGACAGTAGAGCTGGCACAATTGGTAGGAGACGTGGAAGTTGGGGAAGAAAAGGAAGGACTTCCAAAGCAGCAGTCACCTTAGCCAGAAGTAGCAGAACCTGTTTTTGTATCCACCCACTCCCTCTAGACTTAACTCATCAGATGGGTGACATGATGACTGTCTTTGCAGTTGGGATAATTAGTTGAAGTTGGGTAAAAATGAATGAGGCTTCCTAAAAGGGATTGGGGGAGGAGGGGATGATGGAATCTCTAAACTGGAAGAAGGTTAAGGGATCATGCTTAAAGAGATGCTTAAGATTTCATTGTAACTGTAATTTCAAAGACGGTGTAATCTACGTTTTAACACGAGTTCTTAACACAAATTATCTTTATGAAGAATACAGATTTAGGAGATGATGTGATGTACTCCACCCAGAATAACCAATTACAACAAAGACCCTCCGTCAAACAGCTGGTAGCCTATACAAGGCTTTCTATAAATTTCACAAGAATCACCCCCCCCCAAACGTAGAAAGTGGACCCAATATGAAGGAAAATGACTTTAACAAGGCTGACTTGAAAGTGATAAAGGAGCAAGTTACTGCCAACAGATAGTGGAAATACTGCAGAAGCACCGATAAACAGAAATCACCAAGCTCAAGACAAGAGAAAGTGGGCACACATCCAGAGAGATCACGTTAGGGTACGCCAGGAAAAAGACGGTTCGAGGGAATTACCCGGAGGCGATGAGCCAGGTAAGCAAACTGTGGCAGTTAGGGGGATTCTCATAACCTGGGCAGGAGGGTCCGGACGGTTCTTTCTGGCGGTGGCACTAGCGATATCGCATCTCAGGGAGAGACCACAGAGTGAAAGAGTTGGAGAGATGTTTACGTGAGACGCAGTAGTCGAGAAATATCGCTCAGATCTCAAGGAAGGCGGGAGGTGAAGCAGGTGTAACAGAAAGCTGAGCTCCCAGGTGGAAAAAGCTCTCCTCAGAGACAAGACCCCGCTCTGGCGGGAAAGCCCGGAATCCCAACGGCCTCTTCCCCGCAAGTAAGGCTGGGCGCTGGGATGGGGCCCGCCGTGACGGCAGGGAGACAGCCTCCCCGCGGCCCGGGAGAGAGAGGCCTGAGGAACGGCCTCAAGTAGCCTAACTAACGGCCACCGGCCAGAGCGCGGCCGCCGGACAGCAGGGGGGAGGGGAGGTGGTCCCAGGGGGCGGGGCAGAGGAAAAGGCGCCGGGCCCACAGCGGTCCCTGCTTCCGCCCAGCGCAGCCCAGGCCCGCGGGCCCGGTCCGACACAGCCTCCTGGCCCGATCGCCTTCCATCCTCCCCCCTCCCCCAGCTTCCCGCCGCCACTCACCGAACCGGAACCGGCTGCCATGCGAAGGGGTTTCCGGCCGGGCGCGGAACGCAAAACCCGGGAACCGCCGCGAACCGGAACCGCCTTCACAACGCCGGAAGAGCCGCTTGGTGGCTGCAGGGGGGGGTGGGGCAGGAGGTCAAAGAGCAGATTTAAGGACCGGGGACGCCTGCGCGGTGTGGCGAGGCCTGATGAGCCAAGGGAGCATTTAGACTAATCATAATTTCTCAGTACTCCTGTCAATCTGGGCCTTTTTCTCTTTCTCGTACTCGGAATACTGTTAGTGCGCCCTTCGTCCTATGCTTTTCTCTGTCCCCTCGACTCCCTTACCCGCCGCCTTATGGTTCCGCACGGCGAGTTTTTGTCTGTACTCTGGTTTCCATGGCAGCTTTTCACTGTGGCCCCAGATCTGCTGGAACTTGTGGCTTCCCCGACAGATGGAGACCTGACATCTAAGTCGATCTCAAGCTATCTCGTGTTATTGAGAATCATAGACCGTTAGTGCTTGTAGAGATTATTGGAGGTATTTTGGTCTAACAGATTCAGAGAATTGAAGAGATTTCCTAACGTTTTTAAGTGCATGGCAGATCTAAGACTAGGAAACAAGTTTCTTAACTTGCAGTCCTAAATGCACATCATGCTTGATTGACCATTTAGCAAACAAACGAAAAGAAAGAGAAAAAAACGCAACTTGGGGACGGCTTAGGTTAGGTTCTGGCAGCATGGAGAATCTTCCAGAACTTTGGAGGAGTTTGAAACACAGGCAAAGATGTGAGGAAAGCTATTGGGGTCCTATCAGAGATGTACTTTTGTAGGCAGAGTTAGGAAATGACCCAGGAGTCCCACCTCTGTCCTCTGAAGGGCCTCTGGAACCACATTGATTAACCTGGAATCTGTGCTGTACTTTCTAAGAAAAAAATAATGGAAAGAAATATGTTCATTCAGACTGTTTACCAAGTGCCTCAACATGGCAGGCCTCTGGATTGTCTAACAATCTTAGAGAAATGCTTTTGAGTTGGTCCTCTAGATCCAGATGACAGCTACCATCTGCACTCCTACTTGAAGAAGGGAAGCTTATGGAAGACCACCCCCCTCCCAACCTGTTTTTTTTTTTTAGAAGACAGGGTCTCACATTGTCACCCAGACAGTAGTGCAGTGACACGATCATAGCTTACTGAAGCCTGGAACTCCTGGGCTCAAGTGATCCTCCTTCCTCAGTAGCTAGTACTACAGGCACACATCACCATGCCTGGCTAATTTTTTCTCTCTTTCTAGAGAAAGAGTCTTGAACTCCTAGCCTCAAGCAATTCTTCCACCTTGGCCTCCCAAAGTGCTGGGATTACAGATGTGAGCCGAGCTGCCTGGTTCGCACAGCCTTTTGATATTCTCAGCAACTTGCTGAGTTCAGGGAATATTGCTCTGTCAGATATATAAAAGTAGCTTATTCGTATTGTCTCATATGCTGCTATTTTTATATTGTCAAGTCCTAAGACTTAATAGTATTGAGCATACCTGACCCACCTCATTCATTGACATCTTAATTATTCCACAGATCTGTACATTTAGATTAAATTCTGTCTCTATTTCTAGAAGACAGCCATGAATAAAGAGGAGCTTCATCTGACCTTTTTCATGTGTGTGATTCAATCTCGCCAATTAGTCAGAACTCCTCAAAGAACAGGTATCATCATTTCCTGATCATACTCTAGTGACAGAGAATGAGTTCTCTCATAAGGCATCTCAATATAGGAAGTGAGAGTTTCTAGTGTAAACATAGACTTTAGAGGTCAATTGACCTTGTTTAATCCATTCTCACTATGATGAAATATTTGTCACTGAGTCATACCTTTTCCTTGTACAAGTATAGGTAATATTTTGGCCTGGTTTGTGGGGATAGGCCCGGGCAGGTAAGAAAGACTTGGAAGTTAAGGAAGAACAAGATTTATAGCCTATGAGCTGGTCATTGATTTCTGTGGGGTTTTTTGGGGGGGAGGGAGGTGGGAATTATTTCAACCTACTAGGCTCATCTGTGAGAGTCTTTGTTGCCAATGTAATTGACACTCCAAAATCATAAAGATAAAGCAAGCCCCAAAGAAAAATGGCCTTCTCTTCCACCCCAGACTCAAGGTATGTAGCTATAGTGATATGTTCTGCTTTTCATCAGTTTATGTCAAAAGAATAGTATCTTTTTGAGGTAAGACAATTGTTGAGAAGACTTATCACTTCTCTAATTTCTCACTGTATTTTTGGAAAGAAAGCACTGAATCACTGAGAGTCATAGGGAAAATGAAAGGGAGTAAGGAGCACCCCCTTCCCTAAATCTCACCTTGAGGGTGACCTAAAGCTATTATTTCTCAGCTGGGGAAGCTTCCACTTCCAGCATGCTTATACCAAAGCCGCCACCAAAGACAGACAACATGAGGAGTCTAGATCCTGTGGATGATCCAGGCACCGTGGGAAGCATACCTATTTTAAAAACTGGTGAGGCACGTGGGTAAGCAAGGGGGAGGAATGTGGAAAGCAGTATGTGAAAGTGAAAATTGTATGTGTAATATTATAAATCAGGGTAGACCAACAAAAACTAAAATATGAATTAAGACCCAAGGGAAAAAGTATGTTTGTGTGTATGTATGCATACACAGACATGCGTGGGCGGGGGGAAGATCATCCAGGAAACTATAGATAAAGGGATACGTCCTCTCTGTGAAGAATAACTTACTTTAGTCAGTGTTAAATCAGTGGGCTCTCATAACTGAAGATACTAATGTGGCTTACCCTATTAATAGCATCCTTGATATATTAAAATGTGAAACTTAAAAAATAGACTAAATGGGTTATTGTATTACAAAATGTCCTAAATATTGTAAAATATTGCCTTCTGAATCTATTTAAAACAAATTTATCTTGTATATTTTAATTAATATTCAATTCACAAGCAATTTATCTGAAGCTTCAGAAGCATGTCTATTTGTTTCTTCTCGACTTCTCATCTGTAAATACATCTGTGTAAACAGCTTTGCCTGTTCTGTATTGAGGTCAGTTCACTGCAAAATTATTGCATTCCCATTACGTGTCCAGTAATATACTAGAAAGAGAGACAGTTTTAAAACATATGTATAAGACATTACCTTGTCCTTGTCCCCGCGGTTTACAGTTTGGAAATGCCTTAGAGATTATTTAGTCTAACTCTCTTATATTTTCAGAAGGAATTCAGGACTAAAAAGGTTTTCCTTAAGAAGTTAACAATTTCATTAATTACTCCCAGCACCTATAAATGTATCGCAATCATTCATAATTTTTTGAGTACTTTGAAATAATTGTGCTAGACTCAGGAGGAAATGAGAAAATGAACTAGACACTTTTCCTGTTCCCCAGTAGCTGACAAGCAAGGAGGGGAGATGATATGAGACAATATGTGAGTTAAGAGCTTGATAACCTTGGTTCAAAATGTTGAGTTTCAAAAGAAGATGCCATAGAAATGTAGGGATGGAAGGAGCCAACTGACTGCTTGGGCAGAGCTTTACTGAGCTCCAGTGTGAAGGCAGGCACCATGCATAAACTCTAATGTAATGCAGTTGTGTTAGTATACCCAAAGTTAACCACACTCACAAGAAAATGGCTTATATACAAGAATACCAATTTATTCAGATACTGGGGCAACATCTACCTGTCTGTGGCAGCTGTGTGTGGTCTATGTCCCTTTACTCAGACTTGCTTTGCCCATGCAGAAAAGCAGCTAGGAACAAGAAATAAACCCCGCTGGTGACTTTGTCTACTGTTTCTTTATTTGTACAGATCATTTCTTATTTATCCTCATCTTTCTTACTTTTCCCATTTTCATTTTGCTCTATACCTAATATTCACCTCCGACCCCATTTGCTCTGATGACCCATTTTGGACCTGCTTCTGTGGTCTGAATTCAGCATTGTCCCATGGACAAAATTCTGAGGTTCAACTTCTGCCTTTAACCATTGAGGCCACAGGTATGAACCGCCATTACCCCTTCCGGCTTTCCCTCTAGGGAAGTGGAATAAAAAATCTTCCCATTCCCAATGGGGCCTCCATTCCCTCTTTCCTGCATGCTTCTCCCCTTTCTTCCTCCTTCTTCCTTCCAGTCTCCTGTCCTCCTTCTCTTCCTCCTCCTTTTCCTCCTTTCAAGAAAACTTGTTGAGCACATATTATGTCAGGCACTGTACTTGGTACTGGGAATAAAGTAATAAGAGAAAACAGGTTCATTACCTGCCAACATGAAGTTGATAGTCTTGTGGGAGTAAGGCAGTGATCACATAATCGCGCTCTGGTATATAATTAGAATGGTGCTACTGCAATGAAGGAAAATAGCACCATGTAATCAGAGTGTGAAACAGAATGTTCCCTGGCCTGAGAAGTCAGAAAAACCTTTCTCAGGATGGCCTAAGGGATGAGTATGCAGTAGCCAGGCAAATGGGCAAGAGCTTTCTAGAAAAGGGGGACAGTAGGCTCTGAAATGGGAAGGAGTTTGGGGAGTGGGCCAGTATGACATGAAGGAGGGGAAGAAGAGCTAGAGAGTGAACTGTATAATTAGTGTTAGGGCCAGACCGTGAAATGCCTTTCAGGTCTTGTTAATACTGTTCAACTATAGGAAGTCACTAAAGAATGATAAGATCACGTGTGTCTTTAAAACATATTTTTGGCTCCTAGGTGGAGGATGGATTGGAGGGGAACTAGAGTAATAGGTCACTGCCTACCATTGATGAGAGGCAGACCACTGCCTTGTGCCATTTCTTGCATCTAGGGAGGGCATCACCAGTAAGGAACTCTTGTCATCGATTAGAGCAGA